TTAGTATTATTTAATAAAGAAATGTCAATTTTTTTGGATTATTTCAATTTAGTTGTAATATTGGCATTTGAGAATAATTTTTTCAGCTAAAAATAGTCTTCTTAAATGTAAGATATATTCCATAGATTCAGCTAAAAGATTATCTGTAGGTGTAGATTTGAGCGCACCTAGAACCAACCGCATAATAAAAAAATATATAGAGCAGTATTCCAAAGAGTAAAAAATTGTAGCAAAAACATTTATGTAAACGAAATATAAAAATCTATGTATATGGTGTAAAATAAATATATTATTGTAATTTTCAGAAGAATATCAGTATAAAAAAATTTACAAATGTTGCTTCGTATTTGACCCACTTCACCTTATATTAAGGTATTCGTTTTCAAAATCTTTTCTACAAAATTTTAACAGTTATACATATAAACAAAAATTTTAAATATTTGTATCATTTATCCAGCTATGTAGTTTAGGTTTTATGTTAGAAACCCCTAAAGAAATAAACAACAAAATAACAACAACTTCTTGCGACATTACTGTTGATGCTACAAACATAAACCATTATTCACAACTTCTTTAGTTCTTAAACTAAACCCATTCCCGTAAAGAGCCTAAAGCTTAAGTGAGAAAAGTGCAAATGGCTGTAGAAAATATACTTTTGAAATTTTGACTTGCAAATAGAAAACTTCATTACTCTAACACAAATGTATTAGGTAAAACTTCGCAAGGGCCCGTCGACTTAAATGAAACGCAAACCCAAACTTTTTAATAAGTTTATTAAACTAGGAGAGAAAATAAACAAATAACGTAATTGAGTTAAACCTAATTTTAACTAAAGTAATATTATTAGGATTAACGTACCGTTGTCAACATTAATTATTTGCCTGGTTTGTGCTTGGCACGTGATAGCATGACTTGAATAATAAAAAAACTTAAGTTTAACTACATTTAAAGTAATTCTCAAACAGTTCAAAAAGTTCGTGGGTAATGCTGAAATATTTCATCTCTTTGAAAATTTTAAATCAGCAATAATCAAGGCCGTAGCTGTTGTGAGTTGGGTGTGAAGCATAATTGCAGTTTTTTGCATAAATCGCTCCAAAATATCAATACAAAAATGATAATTTAACCATGCGTGAGCTGTAAATTGTTGGCTTAACTTTTTATTAAACTAGGGTAACGGGTACAGTTGTTGGCCACTTTCACAAAAATCCAAAATATTCAGATTAAATTTGCATTGAAATTTGGCAACATTGCTAAATATTTGGCAACATTGCTAACTATGGTTTACGGTCCTTAATCGAAATAAAATTAGCTAATGTGGTTAAATAAAACTTTATTATCAAAAAATTATAGTTAATTAAACAACAATTATGTTGCTACTGTAAATTAAACCTTATTAACAAAAATAAAAGGCATTTTTTATTTTTTTCTTTCCCAGAAAAGCCTAAGAACAAATACCTACAAAATTTAATTTAGTTGTGACCTATTTGTGACATATACAACATAAAATATTGTTGGATTGTCTATAGACGGTTCACTAGAATTTCCATCTTCTCTACTCGCGTCTGTTCGTGTTCTTTTTACCAGTTCTTGTGAGATTAGTTCTTGGTAAAATTTTCCTGGAAAGTGTTTTTCCCAATTCCTCAAAAAAATGGCCGTTTTGTAAGTTTGTTGATGTTCCATTGGTGATTTATTGATGCCTATAAAATGAACGCCTTGTAGGCAGAAATGACCAGCATATTATAAAAAAAAACAATCATAGGCCAGCGATGTGTCTTCCTCTTACATGTATATGCACCAACAAGTTGATCTAGAGTATCCACTGCTCTCTTACTGGAATTGTAATCTAAAATAATTTGGAGCTTTTTGTCATTTTTGTCCCTAATAGCCTTATCATGGTGCAAAGTACTCATTAGAAAAAAATTTTTATTGTTTTTGGGAATATAGTTAACAACAATGGTATCTTATATATACGAGGTTCTTGAACTCCTAAGTGGAGCATAGAGCTTCAGTGAAAACGCGCCATCGGGTTCTATTTTGCGCTAAGGCCTTCACCTCATTCCAAGACTTTCCTTGGCCTCTTATCTGGTCCATGATGGATCTTCTCCAAGTTTGTACTGGGCGACCTCTTTTTCTTTTCCCTTGGTGATTCCACTCTGGGGCAGTCTTTGCGATACTAGAACAATGGTATCTTGCGTGAAGTAAAAAGACGAACTATGAACTTCTTTATTCGCAATTTGTGAACTGAAAGCGCTGGCTTATTTTTTCTTAAAGTCGTCAGCATTGTATTTTTTCTTTTTAGAAGAAGTTGTTGTCCTAAATGGTATGATGTAAAAAAGTTATCACAAGTAATATTGCGACCTTTCAAAACACTACACAAGGCGCATACCACGCGCATTTCCTGATTCCGTTTCGGCGCGGCACCTGCTTCCTTTCCTGTATAGATCTAAAATTTTAGAGCATACGAACTTTTACTGTCACATTAAGCCCAAATTTTTATGCATTATATTACATTATATTACATTATATCACATTAAAACACCTCATATTAGTTCACAAAGTCACGAAACACCAAAATAGGTCAAATAGAGCCGAACAGGAGAGCAGGGTTTAAGTGGTACTACTTATTTCAGATAACAGCACTGATGATGGAATAATTATTCCGAAAAAGTTTTGAGATGTAGCTCAAAAGGGTTCTTTTAAATAAATATATCTTTCTATAAAATATTTTTTAATAAAATTATTATATTATTATACTAATTTTTACTTTAAATTAAATATCAGAGGTATTCGAATTACAAAAACTAAGCTGTCAGCTCGCTGCTTGCAGTACACTTAACCTATGCAGATATTTAATATTTAATTAGTCTCTAAATCTAAATGTTCAAAACAATACCTGCCATCGTAACTAACTAAACTTAATTTGCACTTTTCAAATTAAATTTCTACTCATAACAGCTAGAAATAAGCTTTTTGCCTTAGGATTTTCGTTAAATATTTGTTCAGTAAATATCTTCAACTCCCCGATTGTTGAGTTTGTATAATAAATACAAATAATGTAGGAAGAAAATTAGACTTTTGTTAAAAAACTACAAGGCATATTATTCTAAATACAATTATAATTCCGTAATTATTATATTTCGGAAATTAAGCATAACATAATTATTTTATTTATGTTTCGGCTTTTGAGCTCGCAAAAGATTTTAAAATACGGTTTTGATAAATTAAGCAAATTATTTTTGTTTTGTTCCGCTGAAAATCAATATATTAGGTTATTTATTTTTATTTAGAATTATGCTATGGACTGTTTAATTTATAATTTATTAGCGGATTTAACAATAAGTTTTTTCGTATATAATATCATAAGAGAGAAAATTTTACCAGCAATATTTTTGACTGATATGAACGTTTGTTGACTGGCAATTTTCACGAATTAAATTTTGACAGTTAAATTTGGTTTTGTTAAAATTTTATAAGCGCAAATTGCCAAGGGGCAATACTTGAATAAAACTAGAAGAAAATTTTGCCGGTAAATAATTTTCTCGAGACTATTTCACGAGACAATTAATGCACCATATCAACCAAACATAATCTTAATTTATTTATTAACAGTTGGACTAAGACAAAGGCAGAAAGGAAATAAAGGCATAATACTCGAGAATTTTAGCTCCTTTTGTTATGGTAGTATGTACATCTTTCAAGCGTAAAATTTCTCACCCATAGGAACTCCGAAAATTGGGTCTAAATAGAGTTTCTGAACCTTTGCGCGATCAATGGGGCTTTTTCGAAACCAATTTATTGATTTCTTCACCTAACTGGCATCTAAATCTTGATTTTTCGTCTAATTTCATGATATCTATGCAAAATTGATTACGCCTTAATGACGTTTGTCAGACTGACAAACTTATCAATAGAATTACCAGACACCTTCGTGACAGATCTGTCATAGTTTTGTCGCTGAGAAAACACGGATAGGAAGGAGTTGTAATGTAGTTGTTTATGTAATATATAAACCGTGTTTTAAATTAATAGTAGTTTTTTTTAGATTAGACATCATAAGAAAATTATTTATTTTATTTATTTTTTATTTGTCGTATTATTAGACTGGCATTAGACTGTAGTAGGGTTGTCTAATAATAATTATTAAACACATAAACAGTTTTAAAATATAATAGACATAAAGTATTTTTAATATTCTACCTACTGGCCTACTGTCAAGAATAAAATACCAGATCTGGTAGATTTTGGTATCACCATGGGTTTATCAAACAACAACTTGAGGGATTCTTCTTGTTTTGATCTGTATTCAGACGATTCTCCTGTTTTAATAGAAGTAAGTTCAGAAATCCTTTACAGAACATCATCTACTATATTAGCTAACAAATCCACAAACTAAATATCTCATTAAAAACAAACCTGAAAATTAACATTGCCACAGAATATCTTAACCAAACCATACAAGAAGCTAATGCATGAGAATCAACGAAAATTAAAGAAATTAATCGCTTTACTCATACACTATAAAATAAAACTAAACAAAAAATTATTAAGAAACGAATAATATCCACAAAGACAATGGTATATATTCTTGTCTGATAATATTTTCTCTGGAAACAAACCAGGCGAATAGAATGTTCTTATTGAACCCTCCAATTCACACTGACGGTTTGACAAAAGAAATCCTGGATCCAATAAATAAAATAAAGAGTTGTAAAAATAAAAACAATAACACATAATATAAGATCATAAAATAAACAATACAGATGTAAAATTTCAAAAAAAACTTAATCAGTTAATAGGTAAACAGGCTTGTCATTTACTGTTTAACAGGGCTAATATAATATTGTCATTAAATATTCAATATAATATAAAGTAGTGGTCCAAAAGGTCTGTTTGGATCTGTAACTAGCAAAAGTATCGTAGAAGTATGTTTTGTAAGTTTTATTTTCTTTTGTAACTCTGATTGAATGAGTTATTGAAAAATAAAACATTATATGTATTACCTGATACTTGAAGCAGAGTTGTGCTGGCTGATGTTCGTCCCGAATGGTACTCTAGTGTACAGTGTTCAAATGTTTCTTTTAAATCTTTTCCATAAAGTTGACCAAAGTCGATGGTATTACCGAATGGTTGAGATGTTTTTATGTCGGCGTAAGTTATATCTAAAATAAAATTAGATAATTACTTTTAAAGTGATTTTTTAAAAGTTAGTAATGGATCATTAATACAGTAATATTTTAGATTACATATTTACAAACGGTGGTTTAGAAATTTTTTTTGTCTATTGTTTAGATTTAGAAATTTGTTTAGATATAAAATCTAAACAAAATATTGTTTAGATTTTGCCTAATGTTTAGGTTTAGAAAGAACCATGACGCTTAAGTGGAACTGGGCAGGGCACTTAGCCAGAACACAAGATGGACGGTGGACAAGACGTATTATGGAATGGAGGCCCAGAAATTATAAAAGAAGCCGAGGACGACCACCGACTAGATGGACCGATGACATTAAACGTGTAGCGAGAAACTGGCTACAAGCGGCCCAGTGTAGAGAACACTGAAAAGAACTGAGGGAGGCCTATGTCCAGCAGTGGACGCGACTGGCTGATTGATGATTGTTTAGATTGGGACTGCAAGTGAAAGTACAGTACTGTACTTTCACTTGCAGTGCAGTAAAGTGCAGTACTGTATTCATGATCAGTGTAGTAGTGTCAGGAGGCTCGGAAGACTAAGACGTCGACAGCCCTGAAGAAGACATCAGAGAGGATGTCGAAAGCTCGGCATAATGAGAATCAACACCGTTCAACCCGGAAAACTGTTGTGTTTCAATCTTAATTTTATTAATTTTTGTAATAGTATTAATCTTAGCTCTAGGTCTAATATATATATATATATATATATATATATATTTATATATATATATATATATATATTATATATATATATTATATCGGAAAAAGGAGTACGACCGTCAAATTCCAATATATAAAAGGATCACTCAACAGAGTGATATATATCTATCTATACAAATTATAAATATTTATATACTTAAAATACTTACTTCCTCTTTTAATACTGGTCCTAAGCGCTCCAGCATTGACAAGGCCAATAGAAGCTTCTGTCCATGATCCTTCTGGGGGAGATTTGGTATACTAGAGCAAGAAACGAATATGTTAAGTTACTAGATTTGTACCCATTCAGAAATATTTAAATTTTTTTCCATCGGATTCAGAAGGTAGTAATTTCTATGCGATTCTACTTGTCTTAAAAATCTATACAGTTCCTAATAAGCACTTAATGTATTGAGTTTTGACATTCCAAATATAAAAACATTTTAGTTCACTTAGAATAACATAAACATCCCAATTGTTTATTTACGCTAACTCATATCGGAGTATTCAAATAAGACCAGCTTGAGAATTATTCGCTAAGTGGAACACTTTTAGCATGTGAACGAATTTTTGAGATTTAAATTGTCAGAACTGAAATGATTATCGGTCGAACTTGTAAACAGTTGTTAGTCTGGCATTATTTTGCCAGTACTAATGGCTTTATACTGTACTTATTTATAAAAATATGTTGTCAACATATCAACTTATTGTCAACTACTAACAAAAAAGTCTTCTTCTTCTTATTCCTACTTGTATGTAGGTTTTAAAGCTTTTTTCTTCTTCAATATTAACCTCCTAAATGGTTTAAATTATCGTACCATCTTTTTCTTGGTCTGCCAATACTTCCTCATTATTTTTATTACTTATCTTGTGGTATTCGTACTATCTTATCCTCTGCCATTGTACTAATGTATTTGTTCCACCCCTATTTCCGTTTTGGCAACCATCCATTTATGTCTTCTATATTGCATGCTGTTCTTCTGTTTTCGCTTCTCTCTCTATTAAACAGACTTTTTCCCGATATTTGTCGGAGTATTTTCATCTTTGTTGTTTCTAGTTGTCGTCTCGTTTAAGATGCGTCAGGTCTTGTCTCCGCCGTTTATTTTAATATGGGTCTAATTGTTGCTATATAGATTCTTGTTTTTGTGTCTTATCTGAGGTGTTTGTTCTTCCAGATTGTGTCATTAACAGATCCCGCCGCTTCATCTGATTTTAAGCTTTATTGTCGTACTTCTTATTTAACATCTCCGTAACTAGTTATATCTATTTTCAGTTATGTAAACCTTGCTTGCTGCTGTATTATTAATTTCCTATCAATTTTTATATGTCATACATTTGGTTTTTTCTGCTAATGGTATCATATTGTATTTCTTGACTGTTGTATTTGAGATGTGTGTTAGTTTTTGGAGCTCGTCTTTTGTCTCGGCGATTAATGTCTGCCTTTATTATTGTTTAGGCGATTAATGTTTTCCTTTCCTTTAAACAGTTCTGTCAGGTATCTTTCCTATTCGTTTGCTGGTATAATCTTGTATTCCTTCAATTCTGCCATTTTTTCTATTGGTTTCTTATGAATCTCTATATTTGTTTTTGTGTACCGTAGAAGGCGCTTTCCATCCTTGTTGTTAGCTGTTCCCAGTATTTATTTTTTGTTATTCTTGGAGAAGAACTCTTGGAGATTCTGGAGTATTTGATGTTTTGTACTTCGTATAGGCCTCTTGTTTCTCTTTACATTTCTATTTTATTTCTTTTCCGAACCATGGTGTATTGTTGTTGTTTCTATTATGCAGTATGACTTTACGTTTTCCTAGAACTTCTTCTGCTGCTTCTTTAATGTTGTTTTTAATTTTGTATTTCTTGACTTGATGATTTCCTATAGAAAATGTTTTAGTGTTATTTTCATCTTTATTTTTGCTAGTACTAGTGTGCGTTTAGTCCCTGCGTTTGCTGAGTTTACAGTTCAGCTACCTAGAATCTACTTTGGGTGGATTTCTCTATTAGTGACTATAAAATCAATTATAGACTTGTACCCCCCTGGAATTTTTAAATGTATATTTATACTGAAGCTTATGATCGAAAAATGTATTATTGATTCCTAGTTCGTTAAAAGCACAGAGACTAGCCATGAGTTCTCCATTTGCGTTGACATAGTTTTCATTAAATCTTTGTTTCACTCCTGGAACTTATTCATTTTCGATTCGTGCATTAAAGTTACACATAAGAACAACAAAGTGATTGTATAAAAAAATAACTTACTGCATAGACACTTGCATCGGCAATAAAGTTTCCCAAAGTACATTCGTGGGTATAACATCCTTCGAAAGATAGATCAACCAGAGTTGCTCCTAAGACTTTATCTCCTTGCTCGTCTACTTGTTCTTTCCAAGGCTGTAAGTCCTTGTTGATTTGAGCGTCTACAATATGTTACAAAATTTATTGCATTTATTGAAATACCAAATATATTTTTTAATAAGTTACCTTGGGGTAATTCATGAGCTAAGAATATGGGGGCTCCAGTGTAGTCTGCAATTTCTCCATTATTGTCTAGATATACCGTTATGTTACCTACATATTTGCAGTAAGCTGACGCTTGTGTCACTAACACATTGTGTCCTTGGTTACTTTTGACTATAGTTGGATACGGTCCACCAACTGGGTCTGGTCCAGGAGGATTATCTATAAAAGATAAAACAGTTTTATAAGAGATCAATTGTTTTAAAATATTAGTCAATTCATCCGACTCTAGAGACTTTAGTCGTCAAATTTTTAATAATACATAAATCGTATGATAATATATAAAAATATAATATATAATAATATATAAAAAAACGCTTGATGATTGAATAGCTGAAAACCAAATGGGATTCCAAAAAGGCTTTGACACCAGAGAAACAATATTTACTGTACAAATACTAATCGTTTTCTTCAAGTTCCACTCCTATCGGATATTGGAAATCATTTTGGCAATTATAATTTTGTTAACCGCCTGAATAGTTCAATTAAACTGCATCCAAACCATTCACGGAGATTGCGTGGCCACGAGATTTTACGTCTTCCTACGCTTCTTCTACCTTTGATTTTTCCCTGCATTATATTCCTTAGTAGTTCATACTTTTCACTTCTCATGATGTGCCCCAAGTATTCCAATTTCCTGATTTTTATGGAATTTAAAACTTCGCATTGTTTTCCTAGTTGTTCGAGAACTTGTTCGTTTGTTTTGCGATCTATCCATGATATTTTCAAAATACTTCGGTAACACCACATTTCGAATGCTTCTAGGTTTTTAATGTTAGATTTTTTAAGTGTCCAAACTTTAACTCCATACAAAAGGGTAAAAAAATATAACATCGAATCTTTTTTATCCGGAGCGATATATTGATATCGCGATTAGAAAAAAGTTTTCTCATTCTATTGAAAGTTGACCGTGCAATTTCAATGCGGCATCTTATTTCTTTTGTCTGATCAGTATCTTCTGTGATCCATGCTTCAAGGTATTTGTACGAAGGTATTTGTTCAATTTCTGTATTATCTAGTACTAGCTTAACTTTGATGTTTTGTGCTTTTCTAAATATCATGAACTTGGTTTTCTTCAAATTTATTTTTAGTCCATAATCGCTGCAATGTATATTTAGTTGTTCAGCAAGGTGTTGCAGTTCTTCTAGTGTTCCTGCCAGAAAGCCGGTGTCGTCAGCATATCTTATGTTATTAAGTGGCTCACCGTTTAATATAAGGCCCTCACTGATCTCGGCAAGCGCTAATTCTGAGATGGCTTTGTTTAAATTGAATAGCAAGGGTGATAAAATACACCTTTGGTGGACCCCACGGCGAATCTGGATATCCTCGGTCAGTTCGTTTTCAACTTTCACTTTTGCTGTTTGGTTTCAATAGAGGTTACAGATAATTCTAATGTCTCTACTGTCTATGTTTTTTTTTAATAAAATTTCGTTAAGCCGATTATGCTGCACTCTGTCAAATGCCTTCTCAAAATCAATGAAACAGGCATATACTTCCTGATTAATATCTAAGCATCTCTGCGAAAGAACACTTACTGCAAACAGTGCATCTCGTGTTCCCAGTCCTTTCCTAAATCCCATTTGTGTATTAATTATGCCTTCATCTAATTTCTTATGTATTCTATTGTGAATTACTTTTAAAAACAATTTCAAGACATGACTCATTAAGGCTATGGTGCGATGTTTATTTCACTCCTTGGCATTGGCTTTTTTGGGAAGCAGTATGAATGTTGATTAGAGCCATTCTTTAGGTAGTATACCTGTTCTATATATGGTATTGAATAGATCCAGAAGAAGATCAATAGATTCAGTATTCACAATTTTAAGTAATTCGATAGAAACTTCATCAGACCCGGTAGATTTACCACCCGAACCTTCGAAATACTAATCGAACCATGTCAATTGCGACGTATTTATATGTCTAGTTGAGTTCGAAAAAGCTTTCGACAAAGTACAATACCGATAACAGAAAGCCATAATACGAATAGAACAACAAAAATCGAAAAAAATACCTATAAATCGTGGAGTAAGACAAGGATGTGTGCTTTCTCCTTTACTTTTTAATATATATTTGGAAGAATTGTTAAGTGACCAGAGACTAATCTGCTACTTTTGTTAATCAACGTTTTTAAACATGAAGTTTATTAAAAACAAATAAAGAAGCTGACTAACGGATGAACATTTGGACTCGTGTATTAGAGTAGGAATAACAAACTACCAACCGATTGTTAAAAAACTAACAGATATGATGGACTGTCAATCCTCCCATTAAAACAAAATACGTATTGTTACGAACATGCAAAATAAATGCAGCAGTGACTTAAAAAAAAGAGACTTTTGAACTTTTGAAAAGTATTGTTCGTCGGTAACATCCGCGTATTTCGGTAGTGATCTTGGTACGAAAGAACATTTAAAATAAAAGTACGTGTGTGCCTGATCAAAGATGCTGCTAGTAGAACTTTCAGTGAAACAGTTGCGTGAGCAACTAGAAGAACGCGATAAAGACTGCAGCGGGTCCAAGAAGATCCTAAAAGAACGACTATAGAATGTTCTTAAAAAGAATGGAGATGACCCAGAGACATTCCATTTTCAATCAGCAGAAGAAGCAGTTTTAATGAAGATAGAAGAAACTTCTAAGAAAAATGATGATAAATTCGAGACTGTTTCCAAAAGATTCGATGAAACCTCTCAGAATATTAAAGAAGTAGCTAGACAAAACGACGAAAAACTCGAAAATGTCTTAAAAAGATTCGACGAGAATTCTGAAAATGTTTCTCAAATGATGGAAGAAACTTCGAAAAAGAATAATGAGAAATTTGAAGAGGTTTCCAAAACATTCGAAAAAGTAGAACTTTGATCGGACAGTGTGCTCCCGTGGCTTCGATTTGTTCCATGAGTACTAATGAGAAACCGTCGAAATCTAAGTATCCAAAGGAGCTTGTAGAGACGATGATTAAAACGTGCCAAGATCTTGATGATGAACGAACTAAAAAAGTGAAGTCTATGCTTATAGAATTTCAAGATGTTTTTGCCATCGATAAGAAGGATAATGGCAAAACAAGCATAGTAAAGCATAAAATTAATTCCGGAGACGCTCAGCCAATCAGACAACAACCTAGACGACTTCCATTTGCGAAAAGAGATGAAGCCGAAGACATCATCAAAGATATGAACAAACAAGGGGTAATTGAACCATCAAACAGTCCATGGACATCACCAGTAGTGCTAGTAAAGAAGAAAGATGGTTCTCGATCTTTGCTGTATATGGTGACCAGGAAGTCGTATACAGACAGGGCAACCTACGAGGATATATGGTGTGCTCTAACTAATTTGAAGAAAATCGTCTGCAATTACGACATTAAGAACTTGGCTTCACCCAAGATAGGCCATGCACTAGATAATCTGGATTGGAAGATTGTCAGAAGCATGATTAAAGTGCTCTTCCGAGAAACCGGTGTAAGAATTACTGTGTGTTGCATTAATCCGAAGAGATCGTGTCCTTCAAAGACAGTAGACTGTTATTTCTTTCTAAGGGGTTCATGCAGAGCTGGAGAGTCCTGTCGATTCCGCCATCCTGGGCCTACATATAGAGTTGCTGATCGGGACGCTCAGATCTAAGAGGGGAGCAGTGTTACGAACATGCATTCAGCGCGGCCCGTCTAACGGTTGCATCTCGAAGCATCTCAGGCATTGAGAACCATCGATGGATAGATCCCTCGAAGGCAAGAGAACATTCGGTCACGTACGCCTAGAGGTGGAAACTTTCTAGAAAATAGTAACTTTGGTATATATATGTAACGATCTTAGGAGTTAGTTTCAGTTGATAAGAGAATACCGAACTGTAAAGTTATAAATAAATATATTTATATAAATTCGAACCGCTCGTTTTATTTAATCTCGATACAGTATGTATTTTTTTTTCACCATGTTTAGTTTTTACTCCCTGTTCTCTTAAGTGTACGTTTATAATAAAGGTTTTTAAACAAGGTTGATCTTTGGTGCTTGGAATTTTTTTTTGTAGCTCTTTCCTATAGTGTGGTTGCCGACCCCTGCCCTATAGACTAAAGGACATGTCGAAAATTCTACTTTATAAGTTTTATTGATCTGAATATATATTATGTGTGTTAAAAGCAATAACTCACCTTAATGTTTTTATACTCAACTTTAGGATATTTAAGAATTCGGTGTTAACCGAGTTGTGCATTGAACGGTTCATACTAAAATGGGGTTCGACAAGCGCTGAAATTTGTAAGATTAATGGTAATGGGTAAATTGACAGTCCATAACGTGTTAAAGCCTAACGGAAATGGTATCGACATGGAACATTGGCAAATTTCTGGAAGACCACGCAAATATGAGATCGTAATTTAATGGCCATGTCGGTTTACACGACAACAGGTAATTACTGTTGCCTATAGAAACCGTTCTTCAGGCGTTTACGCGTGGGGGTAGTAAATAAGGGAGATTCACAGAGACGTCAGCTATCCCTAATGGGAAAATTTGGCAAAAACTCTATTTTTAGAGAATTTTTCGGTTGACAATTTTAAAAATTATTTTTCTTACAGGCTAAACTTGTGTCAACTATCAGAGAGTTATTTACGGATAATACAGGATGTTTCAAAAAGGTATGTCATAAATTAAATCACTCATTCCAGGGATAAAAATAAATTGATTGAATCCAACTTACCTTAGTACAAAAGTGTACACAAGAAAAATTACAACCCTTTAAAGACACAAAATAAAAATTGTTTTTTGCATTATCTCCTAAACTACTTGACATTTTGTAATAAAAATGAACACGTTATTTTCTTGTTCTGAAATCTAATTGCTTAGAAAAATTTTAAGGGGTTGTACAGCCCTAAATCCTCTCAAACTTTTGAGTACAAAAATGAATTTTATGGCATTATTAGTTTAATACAGTATTTTTAAAATTTTTTGCCTCTTATCACTTAAAAAAAAAAGTTTTTTTAAAGGATTTTTTAAAAAATCATATTTTTTACCGAAAGTTTGTTTGAAACAAATATATGGTAGCATTGAAAAGTAATAATAAAAGAGTTTTGGTTAACAGAAAGTGTCTGAATAACAAGAAATGTGCAGATTATCCGATAATTTTCGCAGTAACGCTTAAGGCTTACGACTGTTATTCACACCTATAGCAGACAATCAATACTACGAACTCATTTTCAATGCAAGCAAACAAAACACATGAGCGAGTATGAAAAAAATATTGCTTTTTTATGTTTGATATACCATACAAATTTCTAAGTATCAAAACCTTACCTCCCGTCCATAAGAATGTATGCGAGTGCCCACCAACAATAAGGCTAATTTTCTCATGAGCATTTTGGGCGATCCTTAGATCTACGTCATATCCAGAATGCGATAAGACTATAATTGTAAAAACGTCTTCTTCCTTAATCAATCGCTGAGCTTCAGCGTTAACGCTGGTAGATTCGTCGAAAAACTTTAAGTCTCCAGTGCTGGATAATTTCTAAAAAAAAAAAAATAAATATGAAAGATAGAAAAGATTACTGAAAAGTAGTTTCTACATCTTCCTAAATATTTTGACTTCGTTTTTCTACAGAAATTGTGGATGAGAATAAAAAAGCAGGTTTTAAAACTATTTTACTACGACGAAAATTATACTTAAAAGTCAATTAGTAACAAACCAGTTCCGCCTCCTTTACAGTAACGAATTAAAATAATAGAACAGTACTGCTATAAGTAAGTATTTTAGTGGGCTGATATTATTAGTAACGCCCTTATGATTGATTTCATCTATTCCTACCAGGTTAGTAAGTAATGCAGAACCGACAAGAATTTATGATTTTAAATAACTAGTAGAGGATTAGTTTCTAATACTGCCCCTGCTTTATTTTTTGCAAATATTTGTTATGATCTTTCATGATAATTATATTATGACTTCTTACAAGTTTAGTTGGCACTGTGTGGGTATAAAAAATAGAAATAAAAGATTGTTATTTTATAGGAATTTAGAATAGATAAATATATTAAACGTTTTAGTAAAAAAAAAATAATTTAAACTTTACCAAACTAAACAGAAAAATGATTTTAATAGTTATTGAAAAAAAGTCATGCGTATTAATTTTTGTTTATAAATTAAAAATAAACAAACGTAATATACTTTTATTGTAGTTATTGTAGTTCCCTACAGTTCTGACATACACCTATGATATGCTCAAAACACATAAATGCATTGTTTGTAGCAGGAAAAACAAGTTTTTTCCATTCTTTCTCCAGTCGCAATACCTCCAAAATTCCTGTAGGTAATGGCATTTCTTGATTTTCCGATGCATCACTTCGAGTTACTTTCATTCAGATTTACGTCCTCGGAGGATTGCTGCTCTCCTTTTCAAATGTGAATGAACCAATGCGTTTGCTAAATCTCTTAACAAATATCGTCGCCGTATATTTGAGTATTTTTTTGTTGTTGGCTTTATATATCACCTGAGTATTGATTCCTTCAACGTTTATTAATAGGTAGAATATCACCTTCTGCTATTCTGGGAGCAATAGCATCATTGCAGCAATGGTGCATGCTTAACATTTAAATCACATTTTTGCGTTGCTTTGGAATATAAGAAACAATTGTGATATCCCTTGTAACGCTAAACATGCTTGTATGGATTGGACGTTTAGTGGAGTTTGAAAACTCGACTGGCAGTGCTGTTGTGTTTTTTCTTAGCATTCCAATTGTAGGTATTTTGTAATCCCGAAAAAACTTTATCACACGTGAAACTGATGTACCCCGTTATCCATTGTCAAGTTAACGCGTAAACCAGAAATGTGTTTTTACAATCTTAAAACCACACCACTAGGTTTGTTAGAAAATTTATATGGGTCATCGGGTTAAAGTGCCACGTAGACTTTTATTTTTGAATCACAAACTGCAAATATCTTGAGTCCGTATTTATTACGTTTTGAGGGAACTTGTGAAGGAATTTAATTAAGCATCAGATCTAAGTAACCTAATTTAGTTTAAAAATTTAAAATCCTTTTAATAACAATTATACTATTATTGCTAAACGAAATTGTTTGTATATGACATTGAAAATATCGGTGTAACGACGACCTAGTGAAATTGCAATTTAATCAAAAGCTTATTAAATATTGTGTACAGATTATAAAAGTCAAACTAAAATTATAACAACAAACGCACTGGAGTTAAATAGCTAGAAATCACGGGAGTAGGATTATTATTAAGAATGAAGAATCAAGAGAATGGTCGAAGTTAGTGTTGTCATCCGTCAACTGGGTACTATCTATTATTGTACGTAGAGAACTAATTAAAGGAATTATAAGTATCTTGTGAGTTCAAGTAATTAATCACCTGCAGGGGGTAAACTATCCCTGGAGTTCCACTTTATGAAACTCTTGATAAAAGCAATCGCATAAACGTTATAAGAATATACATCATTATATGACAATCCTACATCATTATAAATGTGCTGACGGAATGGACATTTCTCTCTAGAAACATAGGTCTCCCGTAAATAATTCCAATGAATTCTATCTTGAGCACCCTGAATCCAGTTGTGATGAATGCGCTTTATGTCATCTGACCACCTTGTTGGAGAACGTCCTCGATTACGATAAGCATCGTGTCTAGGTCTCCATTACAGAATTTTCTTCGTCCACCTTCTATCTTTTAATCTGGCAACATTGTAACAAATAGTGAATGAATAAATCCATTTTGACAATTTTTTACGAACTGGTCAAACACCACACGAAAGGGAGCTAACTTGTCAATTTTTGATCGCTCTGTACATATTTCTTTATCGTCAAACTTAATACAACGAAGAGGACATAGGAACCTTTGTAGAGTCATCGTAAGATAAAAATTTTTATACCATAACCATCTCTCCTCCAAACATCTTCTGCGCTGGCACGATTATAGTGACCTAGCCCAGATAAATACAAGAGATTTACATTTCGTCAGTGGGATATGCATTTCAATCTTGCGAATAGTTTTCTTGAATGGAGGCTATGTATTTATTTGTATTTTTTACAATGATACCAATTATCGTGCCATCCAAGAAATAATTTTAAATCACGACAGCGTTTCTTAAATTTGTAGTACTTTTTGTAGGCCCTGGTAAGCGAATTATTATGTTATTATGTCTTATTCTAGTGAATCTTGGCTTTGAAAGATGCTTATTCCAGTAATTTGTACGGTTTTTGGCTAAAACAATGAAAATTTAGCATGAATTGCTAATACATATTCTAGTTTTTTTAAATTTATATAGAAAAGACGGGCAGACTGACGAACCGCAACTGTTTCATCTGCATCTGATATCTCCTGTTCTGATTCACTGTCGTGATTTATGACTTATTTTTTTCTGCAAGTAAGCTTGCCCGTGCTCGTAGAACCCCATTCCTAAAATCTAACAATCTTTTAATTAGAATTAGAGAAATAACAAATATCTAAAAGCTTACCTCGGAATATTTTTGTATTCCTCGGCGCTGATCTCAAACACCTGAAAGCTCGTTTAATATACCCACAATATTACTCTGTAATGGTCACACGACGACTAACCGTCAGTCATAACGGTACATGAAGGTATTAAAACGTTCAATTCTTTACAATAACCTGCTTAATACATATATCAAAAAACAGTATACCCGGTCTCTAACACAGTGACGCTACTACCCAAAGCTAAAAAAGCTTTGAAAAAAACAAATATTAACGCTTCGAATTCTTAACTTTAAACTATTTTTAAAAGATGGCGTCACCCGTTGCGTCCAAGTTTTGAACCACTGGGTTCATTTTGGACCTTCTCTTCTAATTACCTAATTAGTCCTATAATCACAAAATGTGATGTACTACTATATCATTCTAAACAAATATTTTATTACTTAACTTGCCTAGTCAATGATGGGCTAAACAATGTCTAATTATATTAAGGTGGAAATCGAAACATCAAGACAAACTAAATTAAAATTGCAAAAAGCTGGTACGTAGATAGAGATATAGATACATTTTATATCTCAAATAAACAAGGAGCCTTTTATAATCTACAATGCAATCTAAAACTACCAACTTACGGGACAATCTGAAGTTGTTACACCGATAATACCGATCTTTTTGCCATCCCTTTCGATAATCGTACTCTTTTGGTATGTTCCTTGCATACTGGGCTCCAAGCTATCATCTATATTTGATACGACAATTGGATGCTGGAGAGATTTTATATACGGAACTATACCGGCTATTCCATCGTCAAATTCGTGGTTGCCAAGCACCTGAAATAAAAAAAGATTATAGGTGTATGTACAGATAAATTAAAATAATAAAATGGTTCTTTAATACAAAACATTAAATATGATCAAGGGAAATTGTTGCCTAATGGCTGTCGAAGAACCATCTATGACCAACATACATTCTTACTGGAGACCGGAAGTACAATAACAACTTTAAAAATAAATTAGTTGTTCGTCGTAAATTAGTATGCAGCTCGTTATGGTTTCGTAACGATTCGTTTGAATATCAGTAGCGCTCGCAAATGACATTCAAAAGCTGCACTCTTTACCTACACAACGCATTTTGATTTTTGTCTATAGCCTACTGTGGTCAAAAGATACCAAATTTTTACCGTCGGGTTGATACAAATTTTATTTAATATTGATTTCGCGCGGCCAAATCGCCGGTCGTTTCAAGCGTTGTTTGTGAGAGAACGGTTAATTCTAAACAAAAACATTTTGGCTCAAAATTATTTGAGCTATATTTTTTAATTAAAACATTTTTTTCTATGATGTACAGATTTTTGATATATCGATTTTTTCGGTTTCACCCCTCTACGAAGAAAAAGCGCGGGGTTAAAAGTGGTAAACTTTTTTGCATCTTTTTGGCTTCTTAAAATTAACATTCTCGGCAAAATTCAGCTTATTCGTATAATTTTTAGCGGTTTAGTGGCAATTTAGTCTCTGACGACTGAAATAAATTTTGTGTTTTTGTTAAGGTTTTGTACTAAAAAACTAAATTTTTAAAAACTGGTTTTGTAGAAAGATATGACCAAATACAAAAGAAGGCATCTGAAGTAGTGTAACATAAAATAAAAATGAGACAAGAAAAGATGGATTAATTTACCTCAGCATCTATAGGTAATTTGTTCATAAACTCCTGAGTAATATTCCATTTTCCAACTGTATAATACAGAGTTCCTTGATAATTGTCTCCGGCGTTCAGTAAAACTGACTTTGGTTTTTCATCCAATAAACTGTTTATTTGACTATAAAGTCTAGAAAAACCTCCAATACATTCTTTTTCATTTTTGCAGGTTTCACCATCTGGACTAGTTTGGTCAAATCTGAAACAAAGGTAAGTAAAAGTTAATTTATTTTGGTTTTTTTTATGATCATAACACAAACAAAAATAATTGATGGATTCGACCGTTACTTGATGGAAATTTATTTTATGTAACAATAAAACACTGAAAATTTTGTTTTCAAACTTCCACAAAATTTATTTTAACCTCTTATCACTACAGCTATTTCGGCTGATTGCCTTTCTCAAGTGATCTATTTTTGGCATGCGTTTATACTTTAAACGCATAAAGTGTAAACGCATGCCAAAAATATATCATATATCACTTAAGAAAGGCAATCAGCCGAAACCGCTGTAGTGATAGCAGGTTAAAATAAATTTTGTGGAAGTTTGAAAACAAAGTTTTCAGTGTTTTATTGTTGCACAAATAAAAATGGTGACGTATGCGGTAGGTACTGTTGACTAACGCAAATCTTCATATTATGTTTTTTGCGTTTTTAAATTTTAAATAATATTTTTTAAAATAAATTAAGTGATTTTACTATTTATTTATTCTTTTTTATTATTTATATATCTTTTTTATTTCATAATTCGTTTTACAACCATTGGTTTACAAAGATTATTTATTTTTTTTTTATTTTAACAATGTTTTTTTCATTTAAAAGTTCATAAAAGGGTTGTTAGTTAATACTCTTGTTATAGATTTTAATAAAATTGAAAAAGCTTACATATTATATAACGGACTCTCCTCGTCGTTTAAATAGACTCTTCCAACTATTTCGTGGTGCTATTTTCATGACGCCCAGCTTAGTATTTTGCTATAGAGAAAAAGTAATACAACGGTAATATAGAAACTACGCTTTAAAAACTTATTGAATTGTGTTTAGGCAAAAATTTTTTCTGTTTATATCGCGTCAGTCTTAATTCTGTAGATTTCTTTCATTCATCCTTTTTCTAATGGCATCATTCTATGCGTTTCTTAATCCTCCTCTTTTCTTCATTGCTTTCAATATATCATTTTCTTAGGTCACCTTAAACTTTGGCTTCAATAGTATCTATTCTTGTAGTGTCAATACCTTGACATACTTTTACGTATTCCGTCATTTCTTATTTTGTCTTGCATTGGTAGTCTATAACAAAAATTGATGTCGAAATTACACAAGACTACCACAGTTAGGCAAAAGTCAAATTGATTACACTAATATTATTAGAATGTTTACAAATACAATTACATCTACAAAAACATACCCAAGTGTTGACGCAGCAACTAAACATAATCTGATGTGTGCTGCATTCAGACTAAAACTAAAAAGAATAAGAGATCTGCTGGAAGAAACCTTATTATTGACTTTTAAGAAATGCCGTTAAATCAGACAGAATTGGCCGTTTCAGAACACGAAACGATAGAAATGGTAGAAGAATTCTGCTACTTAGGATCACTGGTAGACTACAAAAATAACACATCCAACGAGATAAAAAAAAGAATATGCGTGGCTAACCGCTGTTATTTTGGCCTGGGCCCTCAACTAAGAGCAAGAAATATGTCAATAGCAACAAAGTGCACACTTTCTAAAACAATAATACGCGCAGTGCTCACATATGGATCGGAAACATGGGCAATGACGACCCGAGATGAAGAGTTAGTACGAGTCTTTGAAAGAAAAGTATTGAGGACCATATATGGCGAAGTAAACGAACAGGATCTGTGAAGAAGGCGATATAACTTTGAACTCTATAGACTTTTTGGTGATGCAGATATTGTGAAGACCATCAAAATAAACCGCCTAAGGTGCGTGGGCTACGTTATGTGGATGGATGAGAGTGATCCCACTAAAATACCTATGCTAAACAGACCGGTCGGAAGAAGAAGAAGGGGGGACCTAAATTCAGATATCTGGACGATGTACAGGAAGATCTGAGGGAGATCGGAGTGAGGGGCTGCAGAAGACAGACACTCGATAGGGAAGGATGGAAGAATGTTTTGAAGCAGGCCAAGGCTCACGAAGGGCTGTAGCGCCAACTGATGATGATGGTAGACATAGCAACACAAACACAATAATCGATTTATCAGACACAGTTGATCAATAATAGGAAGCAAGTAATTTAATTAAACTTAGCCTGAGAGACTTATTCACCTCTTGAAGTGACGGTAGGGTGTATAAATTTATTGGAGCAAAATATATTAATTGGAATATTAACAGGAATTACTTTACCGCACCCCAGACGATCTCTTTTTCTCCTATAGCACTCTAATGCGCGATAGAGGCACACTATCAGACAAATGCGTTATATATGCGAGTCCTGGATACAAGGACTTTAACATGGTTCCCTAGCCCAATAAAATTCAGACTATCGTTATATCAGTACCTCTTGCATGGGACTTTATTCTGGCTTTTTCTGTCATCATATCGGTCACCTTGTCTTGTTAAAAATCTCTGAACAGAAAACGTTTAGCGACGTATCTAGGTATGTTGACTGCTTCTCTGAAGCTGCTGTTGTGCGCCCGCTTGGATCTTTTTTTAAGTTTTTTAACATACGTGTGCCCATCTTATCTTTGTTTTCGTTCTTAATTTGCTTCTTTTACCTGCGAGTTCTCTAATTGACTCTTTTGACATGTTTATAACTTGTTTAATTACTGTTAATTTAAAGAAAGCTTAGTAGTTTAAAACAAACATTTGTTCTAGAGATAGCCAGCAAAGGCACAAATGCAAAATCGGCTCTTTAATGAAAGATTCCAAAAAAATACCGAAAAAGGAGTTCTTGAACTTTGCTGACGAAGTGGTTTATTCGGCTTTTAAAATTATTCTTATGCCAGGGCCGCAATAAGAGCATTGTGACAACAATAATGTTATATGGCTATTTGAATTTTTCGACCAAATAAAGAATTTTAATCAAACATTACAAATTTAAGTTTCGTCTTAAAAATACAATGATTATCTGAAAAAATTAATTTTTATATGGACATTTTTTTTAATGGTTTAAAAACTGCTGTAAGTAAATAAATTCTCGTGTTAACATGTTACTGGTAATCTCGTGGTAAATGGTACAAACATCTCGTGGTACAAACGTGGTACACATGGTACAATCGTGATACAAACATCTCGTGAATGATACTACAACAGTGTGGAATCATAATTTTGCGAATATTTAGAATATTTAAAAAATTAAGATTGTTTATAACAAATAATAAAGGTGTGTCGATATTTTATTCTCATATGTCCGTCAGGTTTATCTCCAGAAACAAGGTTAAGCCAAAATAACAAATCTTTTGTTCTTTTTATCTCAAAACATTGGGAAAAAAAGTGTACCAGTTTTTATATGACGGGAAGTGTACATCAACAATTACATCACAGTAGGGTGATCAGGAATTATTACAGTAGAGTGGAATATTGTGCAAGAATTCTTGAGTTACAGTATGACAATCCTAAATTTTTCAAAAATGTATGATTTTTCCAATTTTTCTAGCAGGATGGAGCACTTGCCATATTGCTGTCGCAGTTCGACAATTTGTTTAGGGACATTTTCCAAACAAATTCGTTTGACGTTTTACTGACTTCCTCTATTCTGCATATTTCCCAGACGCATACATTTGGGGTATGGCTGAAACTGCCGTTTTTAAACGGGCACCACAAACTATCAATGAGTTAAAGGATGCCGTAAGAGCCTTCTTCGCGGACTTGAGACTTGATAAGACGCAACCCTGTCTCACTCCTCGTCGGATTTGTATATTTTCGGATGTTGTGTGTTCTATTTCAATTGTTGCCGTTTGGTGCCAGTATAGTTCTGAGATAATTCGCAAGTCTTGTTCGTCAACTCCAGTTGTACTCAGAATTTCGATCATCTTTTGATGGTTAACACAGTCAAATGCTTTTTTAAAGTCAATAAAACATGCATTTATACATCTACAGTCATGTCTCTGCATCGTTGCATTAACACATTTAAAGCAAACAGAGCCTCTCGTGTTCCCAATCCGTTTCGAAATCCGAATTGATTGTCACTCATTTGAAACTCGCACTTCTTGTAAATTCGTGTATATCTAATTCTGAGAAAAGTTTTAAGGACATCAGGCATCAATATTTGATAATCATCGCATTGTGAGAAATTCGATCTTTTTGGTAATGCTACAAATGTTGGTTTTAGCCAGTATGTTGGTATTTTACCTGTGTCATATATCTTATTGAATAGTGCTGTTATTAAGTCTAGAACATGTTATAAAGTGTCCATAATATGTATTTTTTAAAACAATAAAATAATTACAAGTTTATTACTGTTTATTTAAGATTGTTCTGAAGCTATTTTCTTGTGGCATTGTAAAGTAATTACTATTAAACTGGGAATAATCCACAATTAAAGATAAAAATACGTTTATTGACGTTTCAATTTCCACTTCGGAAATCGTTCTCAAAATACAAACAGTAAATTAAACAAATTTTGTTTTTTTTTTGTTACATAATGAAAAATTCTTCTAATAATTTAATTTTATCTGACTCATTTATATTGACAATTCAGACATACATTATGCATTTTAAAGTAGAAGACTTTAAAATGATATTGCCAATATTGTTTATTTAAGGCTATACTGTAATATTGTAGCTATAATTTCAGTAATTAATTAATTTACTACAATGCCAAATTAATTAACTAACATTCGTCTATTTATTTTAAAACTTATTTTATTTTAAAAGTGACAAAGATACATTTATTCTACATAATAACATGTTACTGATTATTTCAACCATTAACAAACAGTTTAAATTGTGAGCTTAATTAAATCTATTTAATTGTGAATAATTGAATGCAGTTGTTTAATTAAATCCTTGTATTTATTTTAAGAGGATTCAGCTCGGTGGATATACAAATCCGCTGTCCAAAAAATTAATTCACAATAAGGCTTTTTTATCGTTAGACGTGAAATGGAATAAAATGTGCATTTGAATATTTATAACATAATATAATATAATAATATGTTTATTTGTAATTTAGCCTGAGTACATGTGCTTGTCAGACACAGTTGCGGAATTAAATATTAACTCCAATCCCTTT